TGCACCCCCCCCCCCCCCCTATTTAGTTTGCAAATTTAGCCTTGAAAAGAAGCCCATGGGATTCTTTTCAAGATAACATAGGCTGCTTTTAGTATATGATAGATAGTATTAGTACAGTATGAGATAGTATTAGTACAGTACGTACACTGTACATGAATTTCAAAGGAGCTAAATAAATTTAACACACGCTTGTTAATACACTCCATGATACAGAATCATGTTACAGTGGCCCTGTTTATTGTTTTATAGTACTAATTCCAAAAATTTACAGCATATATTTTGAAAAGAAGCCGAAGCCACCCCCCCCCCTTTTTTTTTTACTTTGCAAAAGTGGCCTCGAAAGTTTGCCAAAAAAAAAGCCCAGGGCTTCAATTCGAGGTTTTACTGTATCACTGTTTTTGTACTCTACAGGTGCGTATACAATAATAAACAATTAGGTATAAATTACTGATTAATTATAACTAGTCTATGTTACATGATTTTTTTTAAATGATCATTATATTAATAGAAATCATAACATATTTGTATTAAGGATATATGAAAGCTAAATATTTCTTCAGTGCATTAAAAAAAGTGTATAATATGCCTTTTTCACAGACTTTTATGTTTAAAAAAATGTTAAAACTATGTCCTATTTCATGTTCCGAAGTTATCGGAGACAATAAAATTCATATTTAATATATGCTTGTAGATATTTATGGTTTTTTTTCAATAGAAATGTAGGTAGCAGTAGCAAGTAAAAAGTGTAACTGTGATTTATTGCTTGTTGAATAAATTATATATATTGTATGCACATAAAGTCTCAAATTTTGTGTCAAAGTGTCCCGAAGTTACCGTGGAATAGTCCCATGTGCATTTAAATAGGATGTAACAGTGTTACCGTCACAAAGTTACCAAAAAAGCCACGTCAGGACACTTTTTAAATTGCTATAATAACGAAATAATTTTTTTTTTTCAATCCATGTTTATGTTGTTCACATATATGCTTATGATTTGAATAATAAATTTTCTCTTATTTTTTAAGTACTTTTCGAGAAATAAAAAAAATATTACTTTTTTGGTAACTTCGGGACATTTTACATTGTAGTTTATCGTCAAGTTGCTGTAGCAGAACGAAGTACGCAAAATAAAATGAATTCATGAATATAGCACATATAATGTTAATAATTACTAATCCAATCAGTTATGTTGGTGAAATATGTTAAAGAGCATAAACTAAACACTCTAAAAGTTGGCCTAATTTATTCATTTTTTTGGGAAAAAATAATATTAATTGTATTTCTTATACAAAATTGAAGTGAGTATAAAAATTTGAAAACTAAGACCATTTCATGAAGGTTCAGAATTTCATCTTTAATTTGGTAGGATATCACTATTTTAAAAATTTAGGTGCCATGTCCTGTTTTGCATGGAATTGCCCCAAAGCAAGTTAAACCATTTTCTTTCATATTTCATGCATGTGCAGTTTTTTTTTAGTTAAGTTTTATATTTTGCTAAAAGAAATGTTAAATGACCTATTTACATATATATATCTTTCATATTTCATGCATGTGCAATTTTTTTTTAGTTAAGTTTTATATTTTGCTAAAAGAAATGTTAAATGACCTATTTACATATATATATCTTTCATATTTCATGCATGTGCAATTTTTTTTTAGTTAAGTTTTATATTTTGCTAAAAGAAATGTTAAATGACCTATTTACATATAGTTTTAAACCTTTAACTATGATACCTTTTATTGTTCTGTATCTTTGCAATATGTAAACAAATACACTCATGCGAAGGTTAAATATATAGTCTAGATTAGCTTGACGTTCATCTCATAGGTAAGTGCATGGTGCTATATACAGTATTTACAAGTTTTTATTTATCAGGTTCATAATATTTTTTTTTTCATCTTTAGCACCATTCATTTTTTAATCATTAACTTATTCAAACAGAATTGTTGTTTTTAGAAAGAGTGGTGCTTTTTAGAATATTTACAGTTGTGTACAATAACATGCCAAGTATCAGGTAAACGTAACTGCCTTAAATCACTTCCGTCCATTGTTTTGAAGATGCATGTACAGTTTACATTTAATGTAATAGTGACCAACATCAATAAAATGTTTCAATAAAGAGATTGTGATATATATGTGCATATTGTATCACGAATTGTACTTGCATCACCAGCATTGTTAGTTGGTTCTGTGTTAAGTTGAGTAAAGTCATCTTCTTCCTCATCATCGGGTAAGCTGTTGTCGCCCCACGCTTCACAGAAATTATGCAACACAAGACAGGCACCAATGATGTACTTCATGTTGGTAATGGAGCTATCGTTGCGCTTCATCAGGCAACGCCATCTATTCTTGAGACGGCCAAAAGCATTTTCAACCACCATGCGGCTTCTACTTTGAATATAGTTATACCTCTTTTGTTCCCTTGTCAAATTTGCTCTCTGATATGGTTTCATCATGCCATTCGACAAAGCATAGGCCGAATCACCGACAAGCACAACAGGGATAGGCACATTGTTAATGTTTTTAACCAATTCAGGGTAATAGTTTCCTTCTGAAACTGTGTGGCCAATGCTTGAATGTTCATAGACCCAGGTGTCATGACATTTCCCAGGCCAACCAAGTCAAAGTCAATAAATCTATACCTATGATCGACTACTCTCTGCAACAGCACACTGTGCCATCCCTTTCTATTATAATAGTCAGCTGGGTATGTAGAGGGTGATATGATGGGGATGTGGCAACCATCAATGGCGCCACCACATTGGGGGAATCCCCATTTTTCCTCGAAGCCTTTTATAATATTCAACATCTCACTAGTGGTTGGTTTCTTCAGGTAAATTGGTGTTAATATTTGACAAATTGCTTTACACACTTCAGTGTATATGGTACACACTGTTGACACACCTACACCAAATGTGTTGCTGATGCAGCTGAGATCTGAATTTTTTGCAAGCCGAGTTAAAGTGATAGCAATTCTTTTGTTTACTGGGATAGCCATAGCCTTACGCAAGTGTGTGTCTTGTTTCATGAGTGAACCTTGTAAATGATGGCAGAGTAAATCGAATGTGTCTGTTGACATACGAAAGTTCTTATAAAACCTTCTATCGTCTGTCCAAAACTGCAGATCATGAGTCCACCAATCAATGTTGCGAGGAAGGGCCCAACAAGACCTTGGGACAGACTCAAAAGCTGAAACAAACAGATAAGAATTCATTTTCAATTAGGTCCTACAATATATGATCTTGTTCTTTTTTTTTTTTTTGTCTTTCGTGGGAGCTTCCTTCCTTTATTGTCATTCCATGTAAATATATCAATAATACCTTCTTCAATACAATTCTTATTTATATACATGCACAGTATCGTACAAGATTGACATAGTACTAATGCCTATATAAAATTAAAAAGACTGGTAAAATTAATTAGATTGGTTCTATAAAGCATTCGATTTCAGTCATTGCTTTCACTGGAATATATATATATATATATTTTCATTGTACATAAATCTTTTCAATTACCATATCCTATTAATGTTCACACCATTTACCTTAGTAAACATTTGTACTACGAATACAAAAAAAAAACGTAATTTGTTTATTTTTTTTATTTTATTTTTTATTTTATTTATAGGCATATATATATATATATATATATATATATATATATATATATATATATATTGTTCTATTTAGTAATTATAGGTTTTAAAGCTTGACCAAACGTTAAATAGTTTAATTAACTACCTAAGTTATTAAATATATTATCACCATGCTTTTATCAGGGATGTCTACAAATATTCAATCATCTCATCTATGGTCCATCCATTACATTAAGTTAGAAAGATAGGCCTAGGCCTACGCTAGCTAGGCGCAGTCGGGCCGCCGGCCGGTAGGTACTCACCATTGTTGTTAGAGGCAATCAGTGCGACAAGCATCATAATAATTCGCTGTCGGCGTATTCTACGATTACGAAGCCTCGTGATTTTTTCTACATCCGCTGACATGTGAAATTTAGCAATATTTCTTTTAGGTAATAATGTTGATAGGCCTACGTTTTCCATCGCTGCCGCCATTCGTTCGAACTAAAAAAAAAAAAAACACACAGCCCGCGAAAAGGTCAAAATAGGGACATGACGCATGCGCAACAACAACTCGGAACATCTCGGGGAAAAAACAGGCCTCGCGATGGTCTGTTTTTGTTCCGAGATAACTCAGGGGACCCCTGTGAAATCTCGGAAAGTTTACAAGGATTTTGCTTTCACACTCATCCAAACCTGGTTACAACTTGTTACAAGTTGTTAATATTTGCAAAATATCATCAGTGTGAAATGGGTATTAGCATACAACGCTCATTCGGAACCGTGAATTACGACCTTTCTAAACAACGTTCTCTGCATGACGTTTTGAAAAAGCAGAATCCGGACATTGTGATTGGTCCTAACGCTCCCATGTGATCGTTTTCTGAGAGATCCGATCTTAAGCTTTGTTGTCATCTTTGTTTGTTTGATTCAATATTGAATCCCAACACGATGGCGTGTATTTCAATACTTGGAGTATGTATTATACTTTTTTTATTGATATAGTACAGCGAGTTTAAAAAGTTCAATAATTTTTTTAGGTCTAAACTCAACCGAATCGTTCGCGAACAAGGTATTTATGAAAATATATTATTATAACTACTACGTGGCGTTATTAAATTTGAGAAATAATTAATAACGAACGGTGGCTAGAGATATTAAAATGTGTCTTTCAATTGTGTGTGGCGGTTGGTGCTAGGCCCTTCGCCGCAGAGCTTAGACTTGGTGCAGTGTAATTAGACACCGCCTGAACATCGTAAATTCATCGGGTTATGAATCTTGTTACGATTCTCGTCCGATCGTGTTTTCAGGCCTAGGTTAGGTTGCATTCTATTGCTAATTATATATGGTATGTGCACAAATGCGGTGTAATTCTTATTTTAGGATTGTAATGTTTACTTAATAACTTTACTTAAGTTAATGTTAATGTTTTAGGTCTATCATTTTTGATGTTTTCTAAAGCGGTTCACGCTAGGGGTGGGCTTAGGGTATTCAGGCTTAGGCCTAGGCCTATGCCTTTCTATAAAGAATATATACTATCAATTAAAATATTAAATAGGGCCAATGCCTGTTATATGGCTAGTAACTAATTATTATATACTGCACATTTTCTACTAATAGGCCTACTAGGCCATATATATTTTTATAAAGTACGTTAGTGTTTTTATTACTATTGTAGCGAAAGGTCAGAACGACTACCCACAGGTTAGCAATAACGCAACTATACCACGGCTTGAGTTTGATATGAATTTGTTTATTCAAACGTTTCTCATTCGATTCTATAAAAATACAGAATGGAACAATAGCATGATAACATCCTAAAACAACTGTAACTACATTTCATGAATCATAGTAAAATAATCCTGAAATTCCTTATGGCAAACATAAGTCAAACTTGAAGATAGCATAAATTCAGTCATTGAAACATAGTACATCATTAAATATACCAATAAAATCAATAAATATTGTTGGAGTATAGCCACCATCATCATCCGTAAACAACCATATTGCTTACCATATACAATGTAAATATCATATAGTTTTCAATTAACTTACAACTTTGCCGGGTATAATTACACAGTTCAGACGGATAATCAGTTCCGGTCACAGATTGTCATTACAGTACATGAATACTCCATATCCTATATTTCAAATAGAATCATTATAAGTTTGCAAATACTGAATAATCATAGTAGGGAAACATGCAATATTAAGGGTGCATTTTGAGTTATCACTGAACTAACTTCCAAGAATAACCTATCTTAAACAAAGCCCTCATTGCATAACAAAGGAATCAAGCCTCCTATTTTAAACCACTGTTAATCCTCTACCAAGCATACATTTGTGCTAGGTTAACCAAAATCATTCAAGCGTGAAATACAAATTCCACAGTGAATGTCTTTACACAACAGGTCTATATGGATAACGTTTAAGTCATACATATTGCTTAATATACCAATATTCATATATGCTCTAACATGGATACATAGAATAAATCTTTCATCATAAGGTATATAAC